AGTGGCTTCATCAGTCCAATACAAAGAGGAAGGCGTAAGGAGAGGAGGAGTATGAGGTAATCAGTCCCTCAGCCTGGAGTCGATGTGTTCAGTCCATCAATCTTGTAGAATGTACAGCATAGGGCCGTAGAAGTGGCTTATATACTGTAGAGAGGTGAGGTGAAGCAGGCGGAGGCGGGGTCATAGTGGTACCATCCACTAGTCGAAGTAGGTCTTCGTCCAAAGGTTGAACAAGTGTTGAAGAATTCTTTGTAACAAGATCCCATGATGCTGCAGTGTCTGACAGTTGTGATGAATGGTTTGAAAAACCGACAAGTTGAAGATTGTGACACTTAAGCAGCATATTGGACTGATGAAGCCACTGTGTGGCAAAACGTTTCCTGAATAAAGATTCCCATATGCTGCTTAAGTGTCACAATCTTCAACCTAAAACTAGCACTAGGTGCCATTGATTGGCAGAGAGAGCTAGATGACAGTAATAATATCGATAAAAATATCAAAATTTTTATACATAAAACCCTAAACCTCTATAACAAACATTGCCCAATCAAAACAAAACAGATCACAGAAAAGAGGCTAAACAGCCCATGGCTAACAAAAAGTATCTTCAAATCTATTAATAAAAAACACAGTTCAGATTAGGCTCAATTACTAAAGAATTTACTAAAAGATACACATCAATACTCACAAAACTAATATGCAAATCAAAGCAAATGTATTATGAAAATAGATTTAATGAAATGAAAGGTGACGTGAAAAGTACCTGGTAAACCCTCTCCAAAATTTTGGGCTCAAGGAAACCAACTGGAAATAGAGAGACAGACTTAACTAAACCAGATGAACCTTACATGCAACCTATAGACATGGCCAACAAATTTAATGTCTTCTTCTCTATTGTAGGATCAAAGCTAGCGAGTCAAATTCGTAGCTCAAATACCCAGCCGAGTGAGTACCTCACTGGTAACTATCCAAATACTCTATTTCTAGCTCCAACTAATCCCACTGAAGTCTCACTCATCATTAAATCATTAAAGAACAAATCAGGTGATCTAGATAACTTGCCACCATTCATGTATAAAAAAGCTGCACCAGAACTGTCGCCCATTATTGCAACAATGTTTAACAAATCTATAGAATCCTCAACCTTCCCATCTATGCTCAAGACAGCAAGGGTCACCCCAATCCACAAAGGTGGCGATCCAACTGATTTGAACAATTACAGACCCATATCAAACTTGCCCTTGCTCTCCAAGATATTTGAAAAAATAATACACAAGCGACTTTACTCCTACCTTACATCCAACAACATACTTAACCCATGCTAGTTTGGGTTTAGACCAAAAAAAAGTACGAATGATGCTATTATACAAATGCTTGACCTAATGTACACAGCTCTCGGTAAAAATGAATATCCTCTGGGGCTCTTTATTGACCTAAGAAAAGCGTTTGACACAGTTGACCACAATCTCTTGCACCTCAAACTGAATCATTACGCCATAAGAGGACATTCTCTTGACTACCTAAAATCCTATCTTAACGACAGACACCAGTATGTACATGCAAATGGAGTCAGCTCCGCTGTCCAAATTGTAGCTGTAGGAGTACCCCAGGGTAGTGTCCTAGGTCCACTCTCTTTCTCATCTACATCAGTGATCTCCCCAATGCATCCCAACTCCTTAAACCAGTTCGATTCACAGATGACACTACATATGTCTACTCCCATTCAGACCCAGCTGTGCTTCAAAACCCCTGTAAACAATGAACTGCTAAAGATATATGCTTGGATCATGACCAGCAAACTCACTCTCAACATAGACAAAACATACTTCATGCTGTTTGGCAACAGAGCCTCAAATATTCAACTCAACATACTGTTAAATGGTTCCCCTATATCAAGACACACACAGGGCAAATTTCTAGGTCTTCTCCTTGACTGTAATCTTAAATTTCAGTCCCATACCCATCACATAGCCAAAAGGAGGAGGGGTAAGGGTCGTCCTAGGATAAGATGGAGGGAGGGGGTAAAAGAAGTTTTCTGTGCAAGGTACCTGGCCATGCAGCAGACATGTGTGTGTTAGGAGTGAATGGAGACGAATGGTTTTTGGGACCTGACGAACTGCTGTAGTGTGAGCAGGGTAATATTTTGTGAAGGGATTCAGGGAAACCGGTTAGCCAGACTTGAGTCCTGTAGGTGGGAAGTACAATGCCTGCACATTAAAGGAGGGATTTGAGATACTGGCTGTTTGGAGTGACATCTAAACTATCATATCTGGGCACCTCTGCAAAAACTGATTGTGTGAATGATGGTGAAAGTGTTTCATTTTGGGGTTACCCTGCCTTCGTGGGAGACAGCCAGCATGTTAAAAAAAAAAAAAAATTATGACTATCCCTATACAGTGGACCCCCAGATTACGACGTCATCAGATTACGTAAAATTTGGATTAAGTAAAGCTTTTGCATCCAAATATTGGCTAGGTTAACAACAAAGAACTTGGTTAAAGTCATTCGTCTCGGATGTGTCCGTGTGGCCTGAGCGGCCCCGCCACTCCATGTACACCAGTGTCCCATTGTTTACAAGCCAGGAGGAGATTCCTGTATATGCGATCTTTGGGGATTTTTTCCCATTGTTTTTAGTGCTTTTAATGCTAAAAAAAAGCCACCAGGCCCCAAAAAAAAACTTCTAGTGCCCCCCCTGTGGTAAAGAGGGTGAGAAATACTATTGAATTCAAGAAAGAGATCATCACGAAATACAAAAGTGGAGTGCGTGTCCCCGGCTGTCCAGGTTGTAAAAACAAAGAAAACAACCACCCTTTACTATTTTCCGGGAAACGGAACTGTTGCGTGAAGGTGCAAATAGCTTTCAAAACAGAGATGAAAATACCGAAGAGTAAGGGCGTTGTTGGTTGGACCAATGAAAAAAATTTCGGAGATAGTTTTTGCAACAAATTAAGATTGTGAAAGGGAAAAGGCAGATGCATAATGTCTCAAAAAGAAAAGCCTGAAAGTGCTGTATTGTGAATTTAAGGCCAAAAAAGGGCTGGTTTGAGAGATTTAAGAATCGTATGGCATCACTGTGAAAAGGCATGGTGGGGCTGCCAGTTCGACAAAAAAGCAGCGAAAAATTGTGCAGGAATTTGGGGGGACATAGGGGCGGCAATTAAAACCCCAACAAGTGTTTTTTGTGATGAAACGGGCTTGTTTTGGAAGAAAAAGCCAACAGGACCTATATTACTAGGAAAAAAGGCACCCCCGGCCCAAAGCCTATGAAAGACAGGCTAACTTCTGTTTTGTAGTAATGCTAGTGGGGACTGCAAAGTAAAGCCTTTACTCGTGTATCACTTGAACTCCGTGTGTTCAAAAAAAACAGTGTATCAGACAAAATTGTGTGTGATTGGAGAGCAAACAGTAAGGCAGGGGTCCCTAGGGCTTTTCCCTTGATTGGTTTTTTGAGTGTTTCCCCCCAGTGTGAAAAAATCCCTCCTGGAAAATAAATTGGGGAACTCCAGTGCCTCTGTATTAGAAATGCCCTGGTATCCCCAGATTTGGAAGAGTGAATTGGGGGGGGAGTTTAGTTTCATCAAGTAAAGTTTTCCCCCCCAAAACCCTTTTCCTCCCCCTCCACCCCAGGGGCCCTGGTCATTTAAAAATTTCAAAAAACTGTACACCAAAGCAGTTTTTAAAAAGTGCTTTAAAGTAAACTCAGACACTAATTGCCCAAAATTTCGGAAAGATCATTCAGTACCTCAGTTGCAAAAAACCTTTATAACTTGGGGGGAGTGACTTTTGGATTTAAAACTTTGTTTGGGAAAAAAAATTGTGGCCAAAAGTGTACAAAGAGGATTTTGAAAGGTTTAGGGCTGACCCTGGGGACCTATGCCAATTGGGGAAATTATTTGTAGCATTGGGGAAGTCCAGGGGGGTTGGGAGGTTGTGGCGGGGGAAGTGGAAGATTTGGTGGGGGACAAGATGAAGAGCAAACCCACTCGAGCTGCAAGGCTTGGGGTGCAACACCAACAGACCACGCTCAGGAAATTTCCTTCAGAGGAGGGGGAAAAAGGGATGGAGGAAGTTTCCCTTTTTCAACGATTAAAGACAGTTGTACAATGTGGACAAGATCAAGATTTTTTGGATGAACATACCTTACACAGCGTTGCAGGGCCCTGTGGAACATTTTCAATGACAGGTTGTGTCCCATTTAGGGAAAAATTAAAGAGTCCAAAAAAACAAAGCTCTCTGGACAGATTTTTTGGGGTTAGGGGGCCAGAATCTCAAATGTTCGGCCCTTAAAAAACAAAGAAGGGAAGTAACCCCCCAAAATTTCTGTACTTTTCCTGAAACCATTATGGAAAGGGGATTTCCCTTCCAAACAATTTTAAACTCCTCATCTCCCCTTCTTCCCTTCATCAAAGTCTTCAATAAAAGGGAAGTGTCATTTTATTTTTTATTATTTATTTATTTGCATGTCTTTTTGTTTTTTTGATAGGGGAAAAATATATTTCATGTAAAAATGTTGTTTAATACTTTTTGAGTGGAATGGTTAATTCGATTACAGTTTTCTTTTTGGGGAAAATTAAAATTCGGATTAGACAATTCGGTTGAGATGCTCTTGGGCGGATTAAGTCATAATCCCGGGGGTCCCCTGACTGTGAGGTTTTTTTTCACTATTTTTTTTAAGAATCTTATCAGAGTGCCTATAATTTTGGCCTTTTTTATAAATTTTTTGAATACACACAGTTTATGTATTTTCAAATTTGTTTGTGAGGAGAGGAATTAAGTGAATTGCATGACATAGTTATCTACAGATGAAAAAACAGTAAAGGGGATTAATTGGTTTAAAATTAAATGAGCCAACAATGTAGCAGGAAGGTGTGCTTACAAAATAAATTTTTTATTTACAGTATTTTATTTATCTTTCAGTTTTTTTATTATTTTTTTTTCTAGCAAGCAGTTCACAAAATTCTTTCCCCTTTTTTTAAAAATGTTAATTGTTTGTGCTACAGATGTATGACCCCCACACAGATTCTTGGGAGCAATTACCCCCAAAGATTATTCCCGAAGTGGTTCAGCAGCACATACTCCTTGGGCTTATCTATATAATAGGGGATTTTTTAATACTTATACAGTAGATCAAAAAAATGGCTACTTTCCTGAAAAACTTTTGTTTTATACACAAATATCCCAAAATACGAACCGAAATGTTTTTAAAGTTGGTCTCTTATGTCAGGTTATTTGTGTTTTTTCCCCTCACGTATTGTGGTTTTTTTTCATCACTGGTATTCCACAGCAGTTGGAAAACATCTTGTCCATAACTCAGGGGCCCATCTGTGCCCTCATTTTTTTCCTCCACTTGCCGAACATCAGAAGGTGGGCCTGATGGCATTCTTATTTGTATGTTTCAACATTTACATCTGATGGCCCTTGTAGTACTCTTACATTTCTTTAATCTTGTTTGATCACAAGTTCTTCCACATCCATTGAAAACTGCCATTGTTCTACCTTTTCATAAACCAGGTACTTTGGGCCATGATACCTACCACTATATTGCAACAAAAATTGCTCAAAAGTTGGTACATGGTTACTGAACATTCCCAATTATGATAAAATAGTTATTGAAATTGTAACAAGGGTTTATGTTATCCTGTTTGTGGAATTTTTCATTATCAGTAGTACTGTATAACAAAGCTTTTTATGTTACTTAATATACTGCATTTAACTTTCATCAGGAGGCTGGCATGCTTCAACTGAGAATACAAATAAAGTGGAGAGGTTTGACCCAAGAAACAAGACTTGGGAGACTGTGGCAGGCATGTGTGAACGTCGTTACAGACCAGGTAATTATTTTACAAATTCATTTATGTATGAGTCAGCTTTGTATAACAGGATATCATATATCAATCTGGTATCCAGTCTTTCATTGTTTTTACTATGTCTTCTCATCACTGCTCTTTCCTACGCTCACTTTCAACTTCTTCATTTTACACACACTTCAAAATTCTACCAGACTATACAAATTCTTTTCATTATCTCCCAGTGCACTGTGCCATCAACAAACAACGGTGGTAACTTACACTTCATATCAGTCATTATCTTTCAAGCCCACACCTCTCACCAACACACTAGCATTTTCTTGTTAAATATATTACACAATAAACATCACATATCCCTCTCTGAGTTCCACTTTTACTGAAAATAATCCTCTTTCTGTACCCTAATCTGATCTCACTTTTCTCAAAAAAACTCTTTACAGATTTTTATACACTATCACCTATTTCATTCATGCAACGTCTGCCCTAAGTTGGGCTCAGAGGCAAGTGGAAAATAGTGACAAAATTGTTATATTCCTCTCAAGGCATTCTTGTACTCAACCTGGGACTTGTCAGATGGGCAACCAGGCCTTCAAAGTGCTTTGCTCTGGAAGATCACCTACAGCTGTCCCTTGAGAACCAACAACCCTCACTTGACTCACTAGGTTTATCAATTTGCTTTCCTTTCACACTTCTCTTCAAATTCATAAGAAGAAGCCCCCTGAAGCTCTACTACCCTAAACATTTACTTTCTACTGCAAAACATGAGTACATCTGTTTTGCACTCCAGCCTAGTAAAGCAGGTAAAGTATTTCAGGAGAGTAAATTTGCTATCACAATTCCGTCATCAGTCAGTCGTGAGATCACTGTCCATACATTACAGGACCAAGTGTGTATTGCAAGTATGGAAATAATGCCATTTTTATTATTCTCATTATCATAGGTGTGGCTGTAGTGGATGGAAAGATCTACATTTTAGGAGGAGAAGATGGATGGGAACACTTCCATGACACAATAGAGTGCTATAACCCCAGCTCGGATACCTGGACACATGTGGGAGAGATGTTAACAGGTCGATCATGGTTATCTTGTGCACCTCTTAGGGTAAGATAAAATAATGAAGTTCTTCAGTATCATGGATTAACTATATAATGTCTCCACATTGGAATACAAATGCAAAATTAAAATTGCTGAATTTTGAAAAATTATTATTATTAGGTATCCCTGAAAGAATAGCTTAAAGTACTTGCCTATATGTGGTTGCAGGGTTTGTATTTGTGTTTAGTGTTTTAAATAGAGTGAACCATGTATGAGGAACATAAGAGAGATATACAGTAGGGCCCCACTTATATGGCAGGTTAGGTTCCAGGCTACCGCCGTAAAGCGGAAACCGCCGTAAAGTGGAACACACTTTTTTTTTTTACTTATAAATGCATACAAACACTAGATAACAAGTTTACACTAACATATATTGTTAGCAATAGAACCAGGTATCAAAAAACAATAAAAGAGTACAATACACACAAAGTGCACTCATTACTTACCTTAAAATATTTATAGTCTTAATCTAGGGTGAGACAAGTAGTATTTATTGTAAGAAATCAAGTGTGGTATGTATGGTAGTCAGCCAGGCTATCATACCTGGCCAACCCACCCACACATATATTCTATGATATTTAAGCATCCCAGAGCAATAAAATGTATATACAGTTCACTCATTACTTACTTTAAAATATTTGTAGTCTTAATGTAGGGTCAGGAGTAAGTAAATGAGATAAAACGAATAAATGAGAGAGAAAGAATGAGCACATGAGAGAGGACAGAGTTATGTAAACAAACCAGGCGAAAGTAAGTTTTGTAAACAAAAAAAGTGTACACGTTTGGTTTGTGTACAAGTTACATTGTGTACAAGTTGTCTCTACATTGATACTGTAGAATAAATAAAGAAGAACACTGCCATTCTCATGTAACATCATTTTGAGAAGAAATGATGCTCTGAGTGAAGGCAATGGAAATAAGTCACTGACTTTTTTGGGTTATCCTAGGTTCTCTACACATATGTTATGTATGATAATTTATTATTATTATTATAATCAAAAAGAAGCGCTAAGCCACAAGGGCTATACAGCGCTGCAGGGTAGGGAAGGAAGCGAGGGTATAGGATGGCAGAAGGGAGGAGGGATGATCAGAAGGTTACAGAAAACAGTGGGGCAGGGGATAGTACGGGGGTAGAGGGTAGCAAGAGATTGAAGTAGAAAGGGCTGAAGGTATCAGAATTTGTGAAGTAAGTCAGTTGTTGTCAAAAAGTCAATGAGAGAGTGCGGATGAAAAGTGGGTCCATCAGTGAGAAGGGAAGGTAAAGAGAGAGCAGCGGAGCGAAGACGATGACGGAGGTAAATTCTGCGTGCTCGTTGATAAAGTGGGCAGTCCAACAGAATGTGGCTGACTGATAATGGAGCTTGGCAATTCTCACAGAGAGGAGCAGGGCGCCTCTCCATGAGATATCCATGAGTAAGACAGTATGGCCAAATGCGAAGACGGGAGAGAGTAGTCTTCCAACCTCGACACTGGTGATAAGAAGACGACCAGTAACCTATACTTGGTTTAATAGATTGAAGTTTGTTGCCGAGCATAGTAGACCAACGGTGTTGCCAACGGGTGTGAAGGTGGGAAGATATTGCAGCAAAATAGTCCGTAAATGGAATACCTCTTTATGAAACTGGTAGGTCATGTACTGCTGACCGTGCAGCAGTGTCTGCCTGTTCATTGCCCTGTACGTCAACATGACCAGGGACCCAACAAAAAACAATATCTTTATGCTTGGTAAAGATGCAGCGTAGCCAAAGTTGGATACGGAGGACTAAGGGGTGAGGTGTATCAAATTTCTGTATAGCCTGTAAAGCACTAAGGGAGTCTGAGACAACCACAAATGATGACACAGGCCCATAGAGCAATACGGATAAGTGTGCAAGGATGGCATACAATTCAGCAGTAAAAATACTAGCCGAAGATAGTAAATGCCCTCGTACGATGCTGTCTGGAAACACTACTGCGAATCCTACGCCGTCAGAATACTTAAAAGAGAGCGGGAAGCGACCGTAGACAGTTGGGCTTTCAAGCAAGGGAGAGAGAAAGAACAGACTCGAACAGCTGGAACTTCCCAGGGGTGTAGGGAAAAGTGAGATGCTACATGAACATAGAAAGGTTGTAATTGAAGAGAAGACAAGAGCGAATGAAGGCGAAGAGAGAAGGGACAGAGTAAACAGGGGCGGCGAACAAATAAAGAATGTCTACTAATATCAGTGACCATTCTATAAATGGAAGGATTGCGGAGATCATGAGAGCGTACATAGTAGCGAAGGCAATGGGCAATCACGGCGATCGGAAAAGGATGGAACGTTCGCTTCTGCATAGAGGCTCCGACAAGGAAGAGCGAAAAGCACCAAGGCACAAACGTAACCCTTGGTGATGAATGGGGTTAAGGCCAGAGAGAGTAGCAGGAGATGCCGTGAATAGATCTGGCCCACCAAAATCAAGTTTCGATAAAATAAGGGTGGAATGTAGGCGAAAGAGGGTTCGACGACGATCAGCTCCCCATGAAAAATGAGCAAGGGTTTTAAGAAGGTTCAGCCGGCTGTGACAAGTTGCCTTCAGAAAGGTAATGTGAGGATTCCAGGATAACTTACGATCAAGAGGGGGCCCCAGAAACTTGCTGTATCACGTTCAAGGATACGGGAGCCATAGAGGTACAAAGGATGATCTGAGATGACAGAGCGTCTAGTGAAAGTAATTTGGTGGGTTTTAGTGCTGGAAAATTTAAACCCACGTGTGGTGGCCCAATTGGAAACACGGTCGACGCCATGCTGGAGAGAAACTGTAATGAGGTGACAGTCAGCGCCTGCATAGGCAAAAGCGAAGTCATCAACATAGAGTGATGACCAAAAAATTTGATGGAAGGACTAGAGGGCCCAAAACATAATAGCAAGGAGGAAAAAAATGTTGTGCTCAGAACACATCCCTGGGGGACACATTCAGCTTGGATAAAGTCCGGGGAGAGCACATTATTAACCCAACAAGGAAATGCCTGTCAGTTAAAAAATTCTTAAGGAAGGATGGTAGATTGCCTCGAAGGCCTAAGGAGTGGGCTTGGGCTAAAATATTATACCCCAAGTTGTGTCATAAAGCCTTCTCAAGGTCAAAAAATATGGCAATAACGAGTGGTTATTGCAAAGGCATTACAAACATACGTATCCAAGCATAGTAAGGGGTCTAGGGTAGAACGTCCCTTACGAAAGCCATATTGACGAGTGGAGAGACTGTTGTGTGTCTCTAAATACCACATTTAACGTCTATTTACTAGGCGTTCCATCACTTTGCAAACTGCACTGGTAAGAGCAATGGGACGATAGGTGGGAGGTTTCATGCCCCTGTAGTGCCTGGTTTGCGGAAAGGGAGAACATGGCTGATTTCACAGCTGTGGAAAAGAACTCCTTGTGACCAAATGAGATTGTAAAGGCATAATAGGACTGCAAGGGCTGACTGATGTAAATGTTGTAGCTACGAAATGAATGTCGTCGGGCCCAGCTGCCGATGATCGGCAAGCTGAGAGTGTTGCCTCCATTCTTGAAGTGTAAAAGGCACATTATACTGTTCTTCTCTGAGAGAAGAAAAGTCCAAGGGTGCTAACTCCCCTGGCAGACTTTGAGGAAAGAAATGAGGGGCATAGATGGAGTCCCTGAGAAATACGGACCAGATGATTGCCAATTTCATTGGCAACATCTAGTGGGTTTGCTATATCAACACCGGCAACCCGCAGAACAGGAGCCGGTCAGGAAATATTACCACTCAGTTTTCATACTTTTTTCCAGACTGCACTCTTTAGAGGAAGCAGAGGTAAATGGTGGAGACTAATCCACCAGCAAGTGCGTTTAGCATTTACGGATGACACTGCGAGCGATCGCACGCTTCTTCTTAAAATCAAGAAGTCTCTCTGTGGTTCTATTGTACCGGTACCTGCCCCATGCAGCGCGTTTTCAAACGTACTGCACGAGCACAAGCAGGAGACCACCAAGGGACGCATTTCTGAGAATGCCTGCCCGAAGTTTGGGGTACAGAATGAGAAGCTGCGGTTAAAAAGGAGGACGAGAAGAGGTGTTTAAAAACTCATCGATGGAGGACGAAGAAGGAACCTCTCTAAAAACAGTTAGGTGTGAGTAAAGGTTCCAATTTGCCTGATCAAATTGCCAGCGTGGGATGCGAAGAGGTGGTGAATATGAAGGGGAAGTAAGAATGATTGGGAAATGATCGCTGTCATGTAAGTCCGGGAAACAGACCAAGTAAGTCAAAATGCGGCGGAGAAGAGCAGACTGAGAGATCGGATGCAAGAGAGAGTGTGAGTCCGAGGATCAAAATGGGTGTGAGTACCTGTATTTAAAACATGGAGGGGGTGGGTGGCAAGAAAAGCCTCTAACTGAATGCCACGGGAATCACAGTGAGCCCCCTCCCCAGAGGAAATGGTGGGCATTAAAATCACCAAGTAACAGAATCGGTGGCGGTAATGACGAAACAAGAAAGGCAATATCCGGAATAGATAATGCCCGAGAAGGAGAGAGATAAAAAGAACAGAGCGTATCCCACCTATGCAAGTGGATACGGGCTGCGTGTATGCAGCAAAGTACGAACAAATAGCTGTTAAACGGAATATCAGTGCGTAGAAGAAGGGCACTTTCTTTAAAAAGGTCCCATCAGGAAAAGGATCGAAGAATACAATAATTATAGCCTGGATGGGACAGATAAGCAGAGGTAATTTTGGTTCCTGTAAGCAAACACCAACAGGGGGAAAACGGGAGAGTAACACTGAAGCTCCACCCGATTACCCCTGAGGCCGCGTATATTCCACTGTAAATAGGCCATGATTGGCAATGAAAAAGATACCTGAAATCCGCAGGTAAGGGTTTTCCTACGGACTAGAGGGGTTAGAAAAGTCCACATGCGGGGGGCAGTGGAAAACGTTCAAGCAGGGGAAGGAAAAGGTGCGCTGTGAAGAAAGGAGTTGCGCAGATGGAGCAGAGGAGAGAAGGAATGGAGGGTGGATCAGTGTCCAT